GGAGATGTAGCTATAGCAATACTTAGAAGAAATTTATAACCTTAAATGTTTACATTAAAAAGGGACCAAAATCCATGACCAAACTTCTACCTTAAGAGCAAAGAGGAAATTAACCCAAAGTAAACAGAAGTTACAAAACAATTAGAACAGATATCAACGAAATATAAAGTGAAAAAATAAAAAAAATTATCAAAACTAAAAACCTGTTCTTTGAAAAATACAGCCATGCATCTTTTAATAATGGGGATACACTCTGAGAAATGCATTATTAGGCAACTGCATTGTTGTACAAACATAGAATGTATGTAACACAGACCTAGATGGTATAACCTTACTACACGCCTAGGCTTTATGGCATAGCCTATTGCTCCTAGGCTACAAACCTGTACAGCATGTTACTGTACTGAATACTATAGGCAATTGTAACACAGTAGCATTTGTGTATCTAAACACAGAAAAGGTACAGTAAAAATACAGTATAAAAGATAAAATGGCATACCTGTATAAAGCACTTACCATAAATGGAACTTGCAGGGTTGTATGTTGCTCTGGGTGAGTGGGTGGTGAATGTGTAGGCCTAGGACATTATTGTACACTACTGTAGACTTTATAAACATCTTACACTTACGCTACACTAAATTGATCTAGTCATGTGGTAAGGTGTTCAGGGACAATAATATGCATGGAGCTGTCATCATCTATGATAACAATGCCTTCCTTCTGGAATACCTCCTGAAGGAAATGCCTGAAGCTGTTTTACAATTAATTTTTTTAGTTAGGAGTGCACTCTAATGATATAAACTACAGTAAAAACACAAACCCATAACATGGTTGTTCATTGTCATTATCAACTATTATGGACTGTACATAATTGTGCTATATATATCGACTGTCACCACAAATACAAATGTTGCATTGCACTATGTTGTTACAACAGCTACATCACCACCAGGTGGCAGGAATTTTCCAGTTCTATTATAATTTTATGGAACTACTGTTGCACATGCAGTCTTGTTGACACAAGTGTCATTATGTGGAGCATGACTGTGTATAAGTGAATAAATCTTTAGCAAGACTTACATGTGTGTGAGAGAGACAGAGAGAGAGAGAAAAGGAGCAACCATCACAGACCCTATAGACCTTAAAATGTTATTGGGGGAACATTATGAACAACTTTATTTCAATAAATTTGACAGCCTAGATGAAATGGACAGCACCTTGAAAGACAAGGTACCAAGGCTCATTTAAAAAAAAAAAAAAAAAAAAAAGCAAGCATAAAATCCAAAATAGCCCTATATCTGTTAAAAAAACTGAATTTGTTGTTTAAAACCTTTCTGCAAAGAAAGCTCCAGGCCCAATTTGGTTCACTGATAAATTCTATGAAATATTTCAGAAAAACAAATACCAATGCCTCACAAACTCTTTCAGAATAAAGAGGTGGAAAAAAACTTCCCAACTCATTTCACATGAGGCCTGTATTAAAATGATTCCAAAACCAGATAAAAGCATTACAAGAAAACTACAGAATATATCTTATGAACATAAATGCAAAACCCTTAAAATATTAGCAAATTGAAGGTAGCAACATATAAAAAGGATACTATATGATGATCAAGTGGGATTCATCCAGAAATATAAGGTTGGCTGAATAAAAAACCAAGAAAAGTAATTTTTTTTAAAGTCCTATAGTAACTTCAATGTATGGAGAAAGAGTATGACAAAATTCAACATACATGCATGAAAAAAAACCTGAGAAACTAGGAACAGGAGGGAATTTCCTCAACCTGATAAAAGGCATCTAAAAAGCTACAGTTAATATCATAATTATGAAAGACTGAATATTTTCCCCATATAGTTAGGAACGAGTTAAGTTTTTCTACTCTCACATTTCTATAATATTATATAATACTAGAGAGCCTACACTGTGTGGTAAGGGTTGGAGGAAAGGAAGATAGATTGAAAAGGAGGAAGTAAAACTGTCTTTACTCTCAGATGGCATGACAGTCTATGCAGAAAATCCAAACTCTACAAAATAGCTGCTAGTAATGATTTGAATTACAGAACTGAGTTTATCAAGTACCATGACTCAAGGTCACAGGATACAAGGTCAACATACCAAAAAAAAAATCCAATTGATTTTCTATTAGCAATGATTAGAAATTTTAAATACCATCTATAATAGCTAAAAAATATGGAAGGTATAAAGGATAAGTTTAACAAAATATATGCAAGCTTTATGCATTGAAAACTATAAAACATTGCTGAGAGAATGTAAAGACCTAAATAAATGAAGATATACCATGCTTTTGAATCAGCAGACTTGATACTGTTAAGATGTCATTTTTCCCTCAAACTTATCTATAGATCCAATGTGATTCTAACAAAGATCACAATCTTATTTATTTCTGGCAGAAACTGACAAGTTGATTTGTATCAAATTAAACCTATCTGCAAATGCAAACCTAGAATATCCAAAGCATTTCTGAAAAATAACAAAGTTGCAAGACTTAACTAGTCATGGGCTGCATTATGACTTACGGTCAACAATAGACCACCTGTATGATGGTGGTCCCACAAGATTATAATACTGTATTTTTTCCGTACCTTTTCTATGTTTAGATACACAAAGACCCCACTGTGTTACAACTGCCTATGGCATTCAGTGCAATAACATGCTATAATGGTTTGTAGCCTATGAGCAATAGGCTATACCATATAGTGTAGGTGTGTAGTAGGCTATATACCATCTAGGTTTGTGTAACTGCATTCTAGGATGATCATACAATGATAAAATCACCTAACAACACACTTCTCAGATAGTATCTCTGTTATTGACACAAAACTATATATGACTAAGATATTATAAAGCTACAGTAACAAAGATAGTACAGCATTGGCAAAAACAGACATGTAGATAAATGGACCTGAACAGAGTCTGAAAATAGAACTACACATGTGTGAGGTCAATAGATTTGATAGAGGTGCCAAAATAATAAGGAATAACTGTCTATATGCAGAAAACTTTGATCTGTGCCTGGTACCTTATGCAAATCTGGCTTGAAATGGATAATATACCTAAATATAAGAACTGAAAACATAAAACTTCAAGAAAACATAGGAGAAAATTTTTGTAACTTCAGATTAAAATCCATTACATAGGCAAGAATAAAAGAAAAATATGGGCCAGGCATGGTGGCTCATGCCTGTAATCCCAGCACTTTCGGAGGCTGAGGCAGGTGGATCCTGAGGTCAGGAGTTCAAGACCAGCCTGACCAACATGGTGAAACTCTGTCTCTAATAAAAATACAAGAATTAGCCAGGCATGGTGGCAGATGCCGGTAATCCCAGCTACTCAGAAGGCTGACGCAGGAGAATCACTTGAGGCCGGGAGGCAGAAGTTGCAGTGAGCCAAGATCGCACCATTGCACTCCAGCCTGGGCGACAAAGCAAGACTCCCTATCACAAAAAAAGAAAAGAAAAGAAAAGAAGAGAAAAGAAAGAAAAATATGAATAAATTAGACTGTATCAAAATTAAAGACTTTTCCACAACACACAGGATTAAGGAAATGAAGAAGCAAACATAGGCCAGGAGAAAATATTTGTAAAGCATGTCTCTGATAAGGACTTACATCTAGAATATGTAAATTTTTCCAATTCAATACAATGACAACACAGTTTTATAAAACTGGCAAAATATTTGAATAGACACTTCAAAAAGGAAATACAAATGGCAAACACGTATGTGAAAAGATGTTCAACATTATCATTATATTATTATGATCCAACTTAAAACCATGAGATAGCACTATATACCCACTCAAATGCCTAATATTTTTAAAACTGACAATCCCAAATGTTAACAAAGATGTGTAACAACTACAACTCTTATACATATTTCATGGGAAAGGAAAGTCATACAGCCACTTTGGAAAACAGTGGCAATTTCTTATTAACATACACTTACTATATATGATGCAGTAATCCAACTCCTAGGTATTTACACAAGAGAAATGAACTATGTCCATACAAGATGTATGCAAATATTGATAGCGGCTTTATAAGTAAAGGACCAAAGAGGAAATAACCCAAATGTCATCTAATGGGGAAGGGATAACAAATTTAGGTGTATCTGTATAATGGACTAATATCAAACAAGAAAAAGGAACAAATTACTGATATATACATCTTGGATGAACCTCAGAAGTATTCTAGTAAGTTAAAAAAGCCAAACAAAAAAGCTTAGATACTGTTTCATTCCATTTATACGAAATTCCTGGAAAGTCAAAATCATAGAAAGCAGTGGTTGTCTGTGGCTGCAGTTGGGGAAAAAAACTACAAAAGTGGCATGAAGGAGCTTTTTTGGGTGTAATGGAAACGTTCTGTTTTTTATTTTGATGGTGATTACATAATTATATATTAATCAAAACTCAAACTGTACAGTTAAAATGAGTAAATTTTACTACATGTAAATTATGTTACTAAAGCTAACTTTAGTAGAAATCAGGCATTTTCATGTTTTGAACTTAATTTCCATGTACTAGTTCTGAGCTCTAACTTAAGTTGTGAACATGATGATTTAGCCAGGCATTTATCGGTTATATTCTAATAGATTTTATTCAAAGTCCTTCAGCATTTACAGTCACAGAAAAATACCAGGATTGTTATGCTCAGGAGCAGCCATTCAGAAGATATTCATGAGGTAAATTGCAAATACGCTTCTGTAACTTTGGTGAGGAACTGGAACCAGAGATACAGGTTTGGGAATTAGGAGGCATTTGCAGAAAACAGTGGAAACCGTGGAGTTGATACAATTGTACTCTTCTTCCACTCCACTTCTCACTGCTTACTAATCTACAGAACCACAGGAAATGCTTGGTCAAATTTGAAATAACTGAACGACTTCAGTTTTTAAAAGGTCAACTTTTCCATCAGATCAAAGTGTTAACACCACTGAATTTAAAAACATCGTATATTTATATCTCCAAATTCTTATCTCTCACCTGGTTTAATTTTTCAGTGTGATTCAGCCTTGAAGTCTCCACTACATTTAACTTGGAAGTCTTTTCCATGCTCATTATTTGCTTCTGTGGTTCCATGTTTGAAGTGGGTTGTGAAAAGCATGCCTTTGCTACCGGAAAGCCTGTGGAGTATGACCCTTGTTTCATTCTAAATGGCTGGGTAAAAATTTTACCTTTTGTGAGTAATAGAAGAAGAGAGAAAAATTGTCACTAGCAACTTCTATTTCATTTTCTGGTGGCTACATATAGAGGCTACTGTGAGCTAACTGCCTTCAAGTAAAAATTAATAAAAGAAAGCTTACAGTTTTATATCAAGCCAAAACTTACATATAGTATAAGTTATTAGTCATCCATAGAGGAAGACAGAGATCATAACTGTTACCAAAAAGGCTGGGGCTATCTAAAAGTCCACTTAAGGTCACCTGAATATAATTACAGAGAAGTGGGATTCAATATGTAAAAAGCTGTATCCTATTTAGGAGACAAAAAAGTCTCCAAGGAGCCTGCTTAGCACTATGCTTTTCAAACTGGATAACCACTAGTAGTACCACAGTTCTGGGAGGATGAAAAGCTACAGAATAAAGTATAAATTCTTCAAGATTTGTAGGAAGGGGGAATACCATTGGAGAGGTGTATTCTGTTGTATGACATGAAAGATACATCACCAGACTTCACCACAGCCTAGCTCTTTCTTTACCCTCAGGCCAAGTTCACAAACAAAACAAAACAAAACAAAAAAACCCACCAGTTGACTTCAAGATATCCTTATGAAGAAGTAGGAACCATGGATGGAGAACATGAACAAAATTACTGGAAAGGAATATTCACCCCCCAATATTCAATAAATTGGTAAAGTGCTTTCTACAACTCAACCTCTTGCAAGTTTAATAGTATGAGTTAGTCTTCCCAAGTTTTAGGACTTCAAGAATACTGATAAAGTTGAGGGCTAGACTTGAAACACTTACTGGCCTCCAGAGCCTTCCCTATCCAAATATATCCTCATATCCTCAAACTACATCACCCAGCAGTGTAAATATTGGTTTATAAACGTGCGACACATCCTCATGGTTCACTTACGTTAATCTAAATACAGATTTTAGAGAAAAAGAGTATCACTGAAATAGGCACAGAATGCTCCCAAGTAGGCTCCAGCTATGCTCAGTGTATAAACCACATATTGTCAAGGGAGATACTATGCAGATGGTCACATCGGTCTCTTGAGCCTTTAATGTACACAGCAGCTGGGCAGAAACTCACTGCATGGGCAGCAATAACAGCTGGGTATCTGACTCTAGCTGTACCACTTTTCCAGCCATGTGGCTTTGGAAAAGCCATTTAATTTTCCTGAGCTTTGATTTCCTTATCTATAAGACACAGTTACTTACCCTACCTAGTACGGTAATGAGAATGCAAGGTAAAATGCTATACAGATAAGGTGGTTATTATTACACCACAAAAATTACCAAAGTGTCCCCTAGGATAAGCCCCAGTGATGGCAAAGATTAGCAGGGTTAAGGCTAATCATTTAAATATTTTAACTTTTCATTTTCCATATAGCTTATTTACATGAACACATTCATGTAAAGTTCACTTACAGTGTTCTAGAGCTGATCTTGTAGTTTTTAAAATAATAACAGCTACCACTTATTATCAGCTTACTAAATGCCAGAGACTTTACAGAACTCACCTCATGTAAGGTCCTCAACACAACCCCGAGAGGCAAATATTGTTATTTCTATTTTAAAGATGAGGAAACCAAGGTTTAAGTAGATTTAAGTAGATTGAACAGTTTGCCCGGGACCACTGAGCTAGCAAGTAGTAGAGCCAGGCTACAACTCTAACAAACTCATGGACCTTAGCCATTACACACCCCTCTATGTGCCAGGACTGCTCCAACATTTGCTCACATGCATACCTGCTGGACATCCTCTCTGCTTTTCCTCTGTTACATTCTTCTTTAGCATCAACAAAGAACCTGCTCTGGTCTGCTCTACAGAAATGACATCTGAAGCTGCATTCAGCACTTCAAACATAGAGAGAAATCCATATTGCATGTACTGGAATGATCGTCCAAATCTTTTGGCAAATGCCTTTTCAAAATCAGAAAGGAGAACAGGAGATAACGCCAACAGGTCCTTCAACTCACTCTTCACAACAGCTGGAAGAATAGGGGCAACCCTTCCTCGGTAAGGTACTCGCCGATGAGATCTTTGTCCAGAATAAATACTAGGTCTTCCCTTATGCATGGAGTTTCGAACCTTATGGTTGCTCCTCTGTTTTGCAACTAAACTTGCTATTCCTTTGGTAGATTCATCTGGAATGGCTAAGGAGATGTGAAAAAAAGAAATCATATTTAGGTAGAAAACTTACTCCCTTTTTCATCCTTAGTATCTGTATTTATAGTTTTTAACTCTCCAAGGAGCTGTTTATCCAGGCAGCACGATAAACAGTAACTCCTGATTCCTCGATTTCTTGCATTTTGGGCAACAGCTTGCTAGCTCTTCTACCAGCTGAAGAAAAGATAACTTAATGTGTTATTACTACAACTAATTGACTCCTGACAGATCTGAAACCCTTGGGATGAAGTGCAAACTTCCCTACAAGTTTTTTCTTGTGCTTCACGGAATTTAAAACATGTTTTTATAATTAAGAAGTTCTTTTTTTATTTCTCCCGACTTAAGGTCCAATAACCTGAAATCACATGTGAAAGTGTAGTTTTTGTGAGTGCACGATTGTCTGGGGAATGGTTCATTTTGCAGAGGTTCTAACTTTGCCCACAACCTCAAAAGCACCTATGAGTCTCCCTCCCCCGCCAAATTAAAATCCACTGGCTGGGATGCATAAATAACTGCAGAACTAGAATAATTATTTACTAAGCAATTGTTTTTATTACAAAGTTTACAGACCTTCAAAAATCTTAAACCTACCTTTCAGTATTACAGTACCACCTGCACCATGGCAGACACTAACAACATCAGGCATGTCCAATACCAGCTCCATAGTGGACCGATACCCAAGGATTCGGAGTGGTAGATGGTTGCCAACCATCAAAAGGTACTCCTTCTCCAACTCCTGTGGGCTCAAACCATCTTTGGTGGAAATGAGAAGTGATCTTATTTCCTTCCGCAGACATTCCTGTATACGCTCTTGTTCAGACATTGTGTCCTACAGGACTGAAGACAGAAACGCAACTCATGAGGAAAAGAGGGCAAACCCATGAAAAGAGATTTTTTTTTTTTTTAAACAACCAACAGTGGGATACAAATAACTGAGACGCCTGTTTTAAGGGTAATAAGGCAGAAGCAGTACCGAGAGGGTGTCCTGCGGCTTGCGCGTGGCCGGGCGATTCAAGCCCTCAATCTCCACCTGCGTTGATTAAGCTACAGGTGTCAAGAACTCTGCCCCTGGCCATGGGGAGGCGTTAACTGGGGTTCCTGTGGGGTGTTCGACTCCAACGCAAACTTCCTATGCGAAGCCTTCAGGGGCTTCTCGGGAACCAGGACTAGGAACTGAGGCCAACGCAATGCCGCCTCCGCCCTGCAGCGCGAGGGCCCCACGGAAAGGCTTCCGCCGCACACCTCCGGCACCCCAAGCCGAGGGGGCGCTCCCCGCTCCCTCTTACCTGAAGGTATCACCAATCTTCGCCCGCCGCCTACCTGGTCTAGGGTTGGGGTCCCTGCCCCTCCCCCAGCATCTCTCGGTGCCCCTCGCGGGAGCGGGGCGTGGCCCTTCCACCTGCCCTGGCGGCTCTCTGCAACCTGAGGTGAAAAGGAAGGCGGGAGGCGCCAGGTGAGGCGCCTTTCTCGGCCCGGCACCGCCCAGCTGCCCGTCACCCGTCTTGCCCCCACCGCGCCCTGACGCCAACACTGCCGTTGCTGGCCAGGTAGAGACTAGGGCGCCCTCTCGGAAGCGGCGCAGGAAAGTAGCTGCGACGGCCGCCCCGCGCGCCTGCGCACCGGCGCCCCCTGACCAGGAGGCCGATCCCGGGGCGCAGCGTTCCAGCGCCGAGGGCACGTGGCGGGTGGGACGGTTGGGCAGGATTAGCCGCTCGGGGGTCAGGTGTGAGGTCCGCCCGTCTCAGGAGCCGCTGGGCCGGACTGCAGAGGCGGGCCGCCTTCCAGGATCCCAGGCGCCTACCTCCTGCGAAGTGGTGAGAAGACGCGAGGTGGGGCTGCAGCACTTAGACCAATCCAACCACCTCCAGAGCCAGGGCCCGGCCGGGCGCAGGGAGGGAAGTGGACCGTGTGGGCCTCAGAATCACCTGCGGGACTATTTAAGAGGAGAAAAGGATGCACGGGTCTGATAAGCAGAGATTCTCATTCAATAGCTCTGGATTCATTTGAGGAAAATCACAGACAATTCTGATTCTTGGTGGAGAATCCCTGCAGAGCTCAATGCAACTCTGGCTCCCTGATGAAGGAATGGGTGGGGCTAGGAGACCTTTTTAAATGAGTGGACAACATTCTAGGTGCCACTGGAGATTTATTTGGATATATTTGTTGGTTTGGTAGACTGCGCCAGATTTACAAAGTCCTTGAAAACCAGAAAACAGTAGCTTAAGAGATACAGAATAGGGAGGCATTGTATAATATAAAGGCTTGTACCTTAAAATGTACAGTCTAATTAAAGAAACAAGACAAACCAAAATAACCAAATAATTTGAACCAACAAAGAGGCTTGAGCACACACAACGACCTTATCTTCCTTCTTTTTTTTTCCCCCTATAAAATGTAAGGTTTAATACACGAGAGCAAGGAACACCCCGGAGGCTGTGCCAGCACGTGTGGCTTCGTGTTTCTGTGCTACATGAGACTAGTGTCCTCGTCTTCCATCGTGACAACCCTTCTCTCTCCACCCCCGCACAGTGCCAACAGGCTCTGGGCAAAGCTACCCCGTTTTCTTTTAACCTAAGGGATGCCATGGTTTGGCTGACTACGTTTGACTACCCCCACTGATGTCTGAAGTGGCCAGATACCGTGGCGATGGAAATCAGGCGAGGTACTGGCATGGAGGGTGGGGGTGCCGGGTCAAGGTCGTCTGGGTTCTCAGGAGCCAGTCTGTGCCACAGAACTATCGGCAGCTGCCTTTGTAAGGCACCTCGGTTTGGCATTCGGAAAAACCACCCCGTCTTGCCAGAGCCCCTTGGTCTTAGTTAGCAAAAGCCGTATCCGATCTAAATCATGCTTTCAATCATGAGAAATCACATTCCTTCTTTTCCCTTTATTCACTGTATTCCAGTGTGTCTTTTTTTTCTCTCAATTTTAATAAGCAAATTGTACCACCGTCTTATTCTGAGATGCTCCTTTTTAAAAGCTGTAGATCACATTAATGGAAGTGTTTACTGCTGGGAATATTTTCCATGTACAATGAGCTGTAACCCTCTTAACTAGTTTAACTAGTTGCACATTATTAGTTCACATCCAGTTCAATTTATAAATTAAGAGAGGTGCCATTTGTCTGTAAAACAAATCAATACATATTTATGAACTTCTTTTATTCAAATATATTTTCACACATCTTGACTAAATACATAATACAGAAGCCCATGTGGGTTGGGCAATGTGGCCCAGGAAGGCCTGAGACTAACACATCCACCTCGGCAAAAGGACAGAAAATATCTCTTATGGTTGGAAAAAAATAGCCTTTTGTGTGTTTATTTAGTTTACAAAATATACTTAAAATGCTATTATTAGCTGAATTTGTGATTTCCTTTTGAATTTCTGAGTTATTCTTATTTTTCCCATTTTGTTTTTGTACCAAGGAGACCACAGTCAAAAGAAAGTTACTCGGCAACTGATTTCCTTCTTTGAACTGAAAAATTCAACAGATACTAAAGTATGACAGTGAATTTAGAAAGGAGGACTCCAGGGGCTTGAAAGAACATGTCTGGGATAATATGATGCTTCTGAGAGTATTGCGATCACAACGTGGTAAGCACCAGAGCATGCTGCATAACTACCTCCTTGGCTAATATGCTTTCTTCTTGGTGATGACCAATCATCTTCTATTAAACAGCAGTAATGCTGGAAGAACTCAACTACACAAGTGTAATGAAGCCAGTATTCTCCCTGGACAGATGACCTACAACTGATTTGACACATACCATGATAAGGGCTTCAAACCTGACAAACTCTGTACTTGCTTCTGATTTATGCCATCAGGCTCCTCAGAGAAGAGATGGAATCCAAGTGTTCCATTTGGTAGAGGTGAAATGTACTGATGTGCTTAACTGCCAGTTAAGGAAAGTTGCCCCTTCTCCTTGTTCCTCACCTCCCCTCCCCCTCAGATCCACATCCCTTGTGCCACCAGGACAAGGGTCCTGTGCCGTGTACTATCATCAAAGAGCCAAGGCCTGTTGCTCTCTCCTGCTTGTGGTTTAGGGGAGTTTATGCAAAGGAGCTGCTTCTGCAGTCTCCCAGCCGCCTCTTCACCCCTTGGGGATGTCCAGGTTTTGTGATTTTGTTTGGGGTGAGGGTGGGTGGGTGGGAAGAGGAACCACCAGGAAGAGTGAGGGGATGCGACGGGACTCACGTGTTGCGACTTCCAAGTGAGTATGCTGCAAGGCCGCCGCATCCCAGGTGTGGCGGGCAGGCAGGCACGGCTGTTCCTCAGATGATGGTGGCTACCCTCCCGCTGCTGTTGTTCCGGTTATTGTTTCTCCTGAACAGGTTAGGGGTGGCCATGAGCACTCAGCGCTCGTCGGGGCAGCCATACTCCAGCAGCACATTGAGGCATTCCTGCCTGGAGGCCTGCCAGGTGTAGGCCAGCGCTGTGTTCCCATGGGCATCTCGGGCCATGATGTCCACCCTGTACCAGATCAGGAACTGCGCCAGGACCACATTTCCCTTGCAGCAGGTCAGATGCAGTACAGTGCGGCTGTCTCTGTCTCCCTCCCCGAAGGTTTCTTTCACCTCGTCCCAGGAGCTATGCACCAGCAGCAGGATGGCTGTCCACAGGTCCTCGTCTGTGGTGGCCCACAGCAGGTGCTGGCCCAGGGACAGCTCCGTGCAGGGTAGCGGGGCCAGGAAGAGCTTCTGCTCGTACTTGGCATGGATCCACTGTTCCTTCTTTTCCCTTGTGGAGTCTACTGAGGGTTTCGTCCACCCCTGGCTGCTCTCTTCCCAGACGTTGTTGAGTATCTCATTCCCAATGAATGACATCATCTTGATAAGCTCAACTGGCCAGTCATCCAGGTCCAGAGATCAGACTCAGGAAAGGTGGGTGCCAAGATTCCAGTGGCTCACTAAGCACTTGATGCACATGAGCGCTCCCAAGTTCAAACTGGCCCAGTTAGGATTCTGGGTCTCACAGTCCACACAGTAGGAGTTCCCGTGCATGTGTCGGATTGACTGCAGGGCCATGGCCTCGCTCTGGTTCATCAGCTGGGACTTGTTCTTGCTGCTCTTGCACGACTGCAGGCTTGCCAGGCTGACCAGGATCTGGCACTTGATGGCTTGGACCCAGGTGTACCACTCCTCATTCGTCGTGGTTTCAAAGTGCCACGTTTGGCCTGTGAGGGACACAATGATAAACTCAAAGTTTTCTTGTTCTTTGGTAGTGTCGGACAGGCCATCAGCTTTGAAGTTGCTGGTGGTTTTCTGCCTACAGTGCTTCTTTCTGTTGGTGTGAGGGGAGGTGGGCTGGTGGTGCTGGAGTTACTGGGGTTGGAGCATACGGAGTCACCCAGCACCATGTCACTGCTGATGGCCAAGTTTGTAATGACTATAGCCTCACTCCACTGGTTGGCTCTGGAGACTGAGTAGGAGCGCTGGTGCATGCCATCTGGTTGGCTGTTGAAGGAGACCAGGCTGATGCTGCTTGCCATCTGAGACCCAGATGCACTAGTGACATTCCCTGAATTGAATGAGATGTGTAAACTCCTCATGTACTTGGATAGGCCATTGGTTTTAGACCTGGAGATGGGCATGCAGGCTGATGTGGCTTAGGGTAGCCTCTTCCCTGGGACTTTCATAGTAGTTCTCAGAAGGTCAGTCTCCTTACCGTGAACATTCTGCATGTAATCATGTAAACTTGGATAATAGGTTCGCACACCGTTGTCACACAGGGTGACATATTTCTTTTTCCATTCTTTATTCAACGATTTGCCACTTTGCTTCAACAGCATGCCCTGTATAATTGGCATGGCTCAGCTGCTCCTGATGCTGTACGCACGACTCTCCAGGCCTTTCTTCTCTTTGGGTCGCTCCCTTTCTGAGAGGTGAACCGGTTGGACACCCACTTGGACTGCTTACGGGCATGGGCGTGTTGGCAGTGGGAGGAACATCCATCTGAAGTTCCTTCTGGCTGGTGCTGGGAGTCTATGGAATGGAGGAGGAATAGTCACTTAAATTCCTACCTCCATTATTTATCTAGCTGATGTGCATGGGGGACACCTGTGCAGAACAGATGGCGGAATGGCTTGGAGAATTGGGCAGTGACTTGCAGGGTCCTATGGACAACTGCTGCTTCTTCCCTGTGGCAACAATCTTCTGGGCAACCTCCTGAAAGTCCCTCTCCACGTTCAGCCCGTACATAGCACACGTCTCGTAGTACGTGCACCGCTTCAGGCCGTTGGAGCGCTTCCTTGCCCTGGCATCATCAATGACCCTCGGGTTAGTGAAACTTATGGCATCCTGGGTTTCCACCAGAACCAGAGGAGTCTCGCTCATGTTCCGATAGTTGGCCATTTGACTGCAGTAAACATCTGGAAACGTATTTCATCCTCCAAGCTGAAGATAAATATAACTGCGTCCACCCACATGGCAAACTGCGCCTCTGAGGTGGGGGTCCCCTTCGTCACTAATCAGCAGCAGATAGCTCTGTCCATCAACAACAATCTCTTTCTTGAACCTGCCACCACTTTGAGCTCCGGGACTGACAGACTCAGCGTCCATTCCTAACTGTTCACAAAGGCATCTTCCATGGCGATGACGTGCTCCCAGATCTGGTTCTGCAGCACCGGCTCCTCCACGCACCCCAGCAGCTCACAGGTGGAGTAGACGTTGTGGTGGACCCACTGGAAGCGCTGGATGTCGGCCCGGATAGCAGCCGAGTTGGCCAGCTGCTGCTGGTAGTTTATGGTGCAGGCGCCACGCCCGGAGCCAGCATCCCCCAGGAAGGCGGCCCGCGGGCGGCGGGCGGAGGAGGCTAGAGAAGAAAGGCGCCGGCGTAGCAGGCGCGGCAGTCTCAATTCATAGCCAGGACCAGCGGCCGGCAAGCCTGCTGCGAGCGATCGGACCCCGGCGTCCCGGGTCAGGACGTCACCAGGGGGAAGCGCGCCCCCACTGCCCCCACCTGGAGCGCCCCGCGGCGGGCGTGACGGGCCCAGGAGGAGGCTCGCTGGGGCGCCTTCCTGTGACGCAGCCTCTTTCCAACCCTAGGCCCGGCTCTGCCGAGCAGCCATTAAAAGCCCTGCCATCCGCTGAGCTCCGAACTGCGAGTCCCGAGCGCCGGGGCCGGGGGCCAAGGGCCGAGGGCTGATCCCGGGTCAGTGTGGCTGTGCCGCTCCGGGCTCCTGGTCTCGGTCTTCTTTCTTAAATCTGAAGACATAATGCCTTTTTTTTTTTTTTTTTTTTTTTTCCCAGCCAAGGGAACAAAATGTTCCATCAATGAGCCAGGAATATTGAGGAATCCCTGAAAGATAGAAAATAAGACTTATGGACTGGCTTATAGCAGAATGGGCAGGGCTGAACAGCAAATTAACAAACAGGAAAATTATAAGACATGGAAAATGGATCTAAACATTGCAACTTTTGAATGACAAAAATTGTAGATACGAAAACCAGCAAGAATGATGGTGAGGGTTGGGGAGTTAAAAAGAAGAAAATGTTCCAAATTTGCACCAAAACACGTCTTATTAAAAGGGCCCACTCAGAGTTCGCAGAATAATTAATGAAAAAAGATCTTGTCCTAGGTAAACTATAAGAGAAAGAGAATCAAGAGATTTTTATATGGAAATGTTACCTATAAAACAATGGAAATTAGTTTGCCCTTGAATTTCTCAATGGCAATATCTTCAGGGCTAACTCTGGAATCCTTTAGGGTAACCAACAGTGAAGTGAGAGGAAAATAAAAACATCCTCAGACATGAAAGGATTCAGAAGGTTTATCATCTCACTGAATGACTTGAAAATGACTCCTGCAGAATGAACAACGAATTACAAAAAAGATGTCCCAGATTCTCATCCCCAACAGATGAGGCAACAGACATTGAGCACATACTATGTGCACTCTACACAGATTATCTCATTTTCTTCCCAATAACTCTGAAAAAGGTACAATTATGACGCCCATTTTAAAGTGAAGAAACTCATATACAGATGTGAACCAGAATATATGAAAGAGTGATAGTCAATAAAAACATAAAATATATTATTGAATCAAAAAGTTATTGGTGCATAATATAAAAAAGAGAGAGTTTTTACAAAGATATTCTGGAGTTAAATCCCAGATCGATAACTGCAAAGCAAGTGGCAGAGGCTGTGTGAAGTTGCTTCATTAGAAAGACTCCATGTGGGAACAGTAACTACCCTTAGGGTCCCCACTTGATTGGGTTTGCAGTAACCAAGACCTATCAGTCATCTGTGGCAGCTGATCTGTGAAGTGAATGGGAATGAGGTGGGAACCATCACAGTAATATCTTTCTCTCCTTTGATGGTAACACGTATCTCTGCAGTTCTCCAGGAATATGGCATTGCTTTTGATGTACTGTTTTGGCACCCCACTTGGTACTTCCTACCGGAATAGCCCTTATACCATGGGTGAGTGTACCAATGTAGGAATTCTGCCAGTTGCTAAGATTACCTATTCCAGCTATTCACTTGGCAACTAGGGCCCTTAACCACAGGATGAATTCACAGTCCCGCTTGCCCTGCCCAAAGGTGAACCTGGGCCAGAATTCTGTTCTTTTGTCACCCAACCTCTATAAGCTCAAAATGTTGATGGCAAACAGCAACATTTTGGGTCCCAGAAATTAGTGTTAGTTTGGGATTTGCATATGATATTCACTAAAAAGTTTGAGTATTTCCTTTTCTCCAGAGCAGTTATCTATAAGGGAGCACAAACTCTTTGGGGAGATAAAAGTTTGCATGCAGTCTTAGGTACAGTATTTCCACAGCGTCCTCATTCAAGAATATTTGGGCTATGCTCAAAAGGCTGTGGATCTGGGATCTGATTTAATGCTGGTAAGAGGGTGACAAGTTGTATCTCTCTTGCTCAGGAGAGGCCTCTGTTCCCCAGACATAAAGCTGTATTTTGTGGGTTGTTTTTTGGTTTCTTTAAAGACAGGATCTCACTCTGTTGTCCAGGCCGGAATGCAGTGGCATGATCGTAGCTCACTGAAGACCTGAACTCCTGGGCTGAAGCAGTCCTCCCTCCTCAGCCTCCTGAGTAGCTAGTCATGCATGCTCCACCATACTTAGCTAATATTTTTTTTTTTTTTTTACTTTTTTTTGGAGGGGGAGGTAGGGGTGTTGCTGTGTTGTCGATGCTAGTCTCAAACTCCTGAACTGAAGCAATGCTCCCACCTTGGCCTCCCAAAATGCTGGGATTATAGGCGTGAGTCACTGGCCAGTTTGTTTTTGTTATATAAACCAAAAAGACTTAATGGGTTATTTGTTGAGTTCATTCCTTGGGTTCCTAAAATTACTTAACCACAACCAGAGAGCTCCTGGGCCAGACCAATGTGTTTTCCACCCTGCTGCCTATTACGATGACTAGAGCCCACTGTTCTTCTGGTAATTAACTCCCTCCATATGACTGCCTCCCATCCTTGCTTGCCTGTGGGAGTGTATTTTAATTTGCAGCTGCTCCTTCCAGCATTCCTGCCCTAGAAAACAGCTGAGAGAGAGAGAGAGAGAGAGAGAGATCCCCAGTTTGGGTCCATCGGATGCCATTGTTCAAGTCTATTTCCTGCAGCAATGACTCCAAGCCTTTGCCATTGCTCTTACATTTCTTACCCTACTCCTGCTCTACCACTAGATAACTTTGCTCCAAACCACCCAGAGTAAATGGAGGCTCTCATACATGAACCCCCTCAACTTTCAGCCCAGTCCTCTAAACTAGTCCCTATCATGTCTTTCCTTCTGGTCTCGGCGGGTGAGGGGGTCATTCATCCTACTCTTGATTTTATCCCCCCTAGCTCCTCTAGGATCATGACCTTACCCTTTGGTTCCTATTACACAATGCTGTATATTCAATGCTTCTTCACAGACTATTTTCCTATAGCATAAAATTATGCTCTGATCTTACAAACACAAAACACAGACACAGAGAGAGGAGTAAGATAGCAGGAAGGAGAAATAAACACTTTCTCTTGAACTACCTCCCACTCCAGTCTTTCCTTTGTGGCCAAATCCTTAAACAATCTACACTCAGTTTTTTTCCCACCTTTTCATCCACCATTCACTACTCAGTCCATAGCAATTAGCCTGCTACTCAGGACATCTTTCTTTTACCAAAATCATCAATGGCAAACCTACTAA